ACCTGTGCCAGGTCCTCACCACCCTCATACAAAAGACTTTCTTCCTATATGGATATGGGACCCACCATTTCCCAATTGGACATGGATCCATGTTTGTGGATCTCGTAAGTGTGAATTTGTGATTTCTGATAAGTCAGTTAATTGACTTATACCTGGACAGCAGCAGAACATATGGCATCTCCCATCTCCTTCAGTATTTCTCTTAGAGGAGAAACCTACGATGCACCTGCAGGTTTTTTGGTTTTGTTTTTTTTTTTTCAGTCTATAAACCAAACATAAACAAAAACATTCTATTTCCTTGAGCAGAATTTTTTATAAAAGGAAGAAGGAGTCTTTTACAAGTAAACCTAAGTAAGATCTCATCTCTTATCATCACAGAGTCATTTAGGTTGGAAAAGACCCCGAAGATCATCAAGTCCAACCTTAATTTTGGTTGGACTCAATACCTTTAAGATCTTTTCCAGCATAAATTACTCGAGGATTCTACGATTCTGTAAATTCAGTCTGTGCATGTGCCTTGTACTCAATTTAAAATGTTCCAGATTTTCCCTCCCAAAATGTTAGGCAAGGCAATTTAAAACATTAGAATGATCTAGCCAGATGGGACTTTATATTTGAAGGCTCTTCTTGGCTTATTTTCTTACAAAATCACTAGGCACAGTCAGAGGCAGTGGGTCGCACTGACATTTCCTCTTCCAAGCAATGCATCTCTAGAGCAAAGTTTAAACTCACCAACTTTAGAACACACTTTTAAAAGCCGGCAAGTTGCTTTCATTGTCTCTAAATACCATGGAAAACTTGTTTTAGCAGTAGCTAACCCGAATGTCTTTTTGTCTAATCAGGCTTTGCAAGAGAAACAGAAAAGTAGTCTGGGAATACAACACATTACTTAGCATTATGAAATCCACAGCGAAATCCTCACAAAACCTGTGATTAGCTCGTTCTTTATATTTCTGATTGTACAGGCAGATACACTGCAGCTTACGGGTGCTTTTAGCAGTGGTGTTAAATCAGAGCAAAAGACTAAAATGCTGGAACTATAGGAAACGTAAAGCATAAATAACTAACACCTGTTTTTCAATACTGTATTAAATTACAAAACCTCAGGTAGGTAAAAAATTCCAATGAAGAACAGAAGGGAACCAGGTATTCCTGGCTCTCTGCACTGCTAAATATCAATGAAAAAAAAATGTTTTCATCTTTAATTTTCAGAATTCATCAAAAATTTTGAAAACAATTATGGGCTAAACCCACAATCTGTGTCAAATGACGTGTCTTCAGCATATGTGAAAAGAAATTTGCCTTGGCTTTTGTGCCTGCATAGAAGGTTACTGTGAGTTCAAGCTCTCAGATTGTGAAATTGTAGTCCAAAATCTGTATAGATTTTGTGGCACTGTAAGTTCACCTTAGACCTTCATGTGTAATGTTACAGACACCCATATCTGCTATACTGTCTTGAGCAAATGCAAATAATTTTCTGACAGATTTGCAAAGAAATCTTGGTGCAGTATTCCTTCAAGATTCTTACTAAAATGAAAGCATATTATGGCAATTTTTACTTCTGATTCATGGCTTAAATATGTATGTGAGCAGTTTATGACAATGATTAATTTTAATTGATATGTAATATTGAACTTTGAGCAAGTAAACCAGCTGGTATTGGTTTTACTGCCCTAAAGCTAATTTATTAATCAGGTTTTCTATTTTTTACAAACTACTAAAAATTAAACTTACTAATGTGGAATATGGTATTGGAAAACCCTCTTCAATACAAAACTGTTTGTTAGGTTTATGGCAGACTGCAAACACACACTGACAAATATACTCTTCTCAAACTCTGCACGAATTTTGCTGCATATGTATGCTATTTCCCTCTATAATATTGTATAAACATTTTTCTTCATTTAGTGCTACAGCCCTTATCTCCTAATCTTATTAAAGGATTGTTGTGAGAATATTTCTCTCATTTCTTTCTCCAATTAATGGTACCTCTCTGTGCGTAAGGGATAACCTAATATTGAAGAGAACAGAAATATTCTAAAGAAAAAATAAACAGGAAATTTGGAAGGGCAGTTTGCACTTTAACCTTGTGAAAACACCATGACTTAACTGGAGAGACCATTAGTAAAATCAAACTGTGACACATATGAAACTGCTAAATGAAATTATATTTTATATATTGCCAAAAAAAAGAAGAGTATTCAGAGAAATCCAAGCTCAAATCAGACATTCACATGCAAAACAATTTACATAGAACTTAAATGCACTGTTGTACTTCAAGAAAACAGGCAATAATTAAGAACACCTACAACAATGTGCCAACTGCAGGTAAGCCTTTTTTCTTATACTATTTATGAAGGGTTTTGGGACTTCCATATACACTTCCGTTATCAACCCAGTTTGAAGAGATGGTAAACTGGAAGACAGAGTTTGTGCTGTGTATAGATCTCTCATTTCAACCTTCCAGGTGGCTTCAAAGCCACTTTGACTCTGTCTCCTTGGATAGACTGATCAGCTCTCAGACCAGAAAAAGTTTCTCGAAACAGCTTGAACAGCTTGTGCCTAAAAATACACGTCTGTATCTTAGTAGCACCTTGAATCTAACATTTGAGATCTTTACTTCCATTTATATATTTATACTTGTTGCTTTTGTACAGGTTTGTGAAAGTAGTTGGCAATGTCACAGTTTCACACCAAGGGAATTCATGTCCTGGAACAATATATCAGATCTTTTTTTAAGTCTCATTATTAAAAAAAAAAAAATTGCCATATTTGTATATGTTTTATTCCTTCTGCTTTTAAGGTGTTATCAGGAAAACAGAAGAACTTATCAGCAGTCTGCTCTGAGGACAGGTGAGGGAAGAAGTCTGCTTGTGACAGTACTCTGTAGTAGAGATGATATATAAATGTGTGTACCAAAAGAGCTTGAGTTCAGTCTCTTACATGCACGTTTTAACTGTTTTAAAGTTAAAACATTAAAATGTTTTGGGAAAAATTATGGTATATTACACCTTTAAACTTCTAAATTTTTCCCACATGTTAAAAACTACAATAGGAGAGATTAACATTTTTGATTTTGACATCTATATAGTTACACTGAATCCGAAAAATCCGGTATGGAGAACTGCTCAGAGATTTTTGTATCTTTAAGCAGCAAGGTATTTGTTTATTCAACACTGGGAGCGAGCCAGCTCGCACTGGACAAACTTGCTCGACTTGAAAGTGCAAAAGCAATCCATTTTATACACTTTAGATAGGTGGTTATATAATTTATTATACATATTAATAAGTGGGCTAGTCTCTGGGCGGAGTCTTTAAAGACATGCACAGTCTTCTACTGTGGGGGTCTTCTCCTCAAGCCTTCATCCCTCTGGTGGTCACCATGGACATCTTCCTCAATTTAACCTCTTCAATGAGGTGACCTGAATTCTTCAAGCTTGTAAAATCCTGGCTCTGGGCCTTCTATATCTTATTCAAATGTCTAGTTTACCTAATTTATTACTGTGTGTGTACTACTCCTATTCTTTCTGTAACAAGGCCTTTGGTCCAGTGAGCAGAACAGAACATGATATTAACCAGTGCTCTCAAAATGTTCTTCTAGCAAAACAGGTGTTGGGGTTTCTTAGAAGGCCAAGATATCTCAGTTAACTCTTTTAGACCTGGTTCCTGTTTCAACATGCCTACCCCTTGCCATATATACCCAATCAACATTTAAAGCTGTAATTTCCCCTGAGAGGTATTACACTTAGAAACTACAGAAGCAAAGGATGGTCAGCATCTCACTAGCAGAAGAGCTGCAGGAAAAAAGCTTTATATTTTAATATCTTTCACACAGAAGAAAAAGGAAACGTTTTCACACCTTTAAAATAAAAAGAACTATCCTGAGACAAAAAATGGAATAGAGACTGCTCTACGTGGCAAATTTGGGCTGAATATGGTGTTATGTGTGGGCCAGATTGAAATGGGCCAAACAAATAAATAAATCCAGCAAGGTTGATGAGACACCATTACTAAAAGCATTTAGACTTTTCAGCTGAAAAACAATGGAGAGAAGGTAAATTTTGTCATTGCAAGTATCTAACAATAAATGAAAAAATCAAATCTCAGAATGTATTGAGGAATATTGACTTTGAGGGAGGGAAACAAAGCCTTTTGGAGGTATTCTTGGGGCAGTACTTAAGGAAAGTTGCTGAGCAGTTCTTATCACCTATCAATTATCACTGGAGTCATCAGGATGCATAAGGAAAGCTGTCTGCCCCAAACAAAAAGCCAGCTGCCCTCTCTCATTCCCTGATTTTTCATAATAATCTTGGGTAGAAAACCCAGAGGAACAGGGTGTGCTTCCTTGTTGCACGTTCATTAAATTAGCATATAGTCTTGCTAAATTGCCATGTTGTGCATAGTAAAATATTATATATAACTTTATAAGACAGAAGGAGTCAGTTCACTCTTTCACCATGTATGTATCAATGTTTCTCTGACACGAGCTTCTTTCCCATGCAGTTTCCTTTTTGAAAGCAGACATAGAAAAAATTGAAGAAAATATGTAGTGATGATACTGAAATTATCAAAGTCTAATATCAAAGGGAGGCAAGTTTATATAAGGAAAACAGAACAAAACAGAACAAAAACAAAAACAAAAAAAAAAAACCAAACAACAAAACAAAAAAAGGAGCCTTTCTGTATTTGTCCTTATAAGCTAGACATGACTGGGACATATTCTGATAACCCTCTTTCATACTAATCTGTTTCATGTCATTATTTAGATAGTTTGATTACAAATATGTAGTTTGTTATGTGGAAAGAGGATGAGAAGTCCTAAATAGTGTCTGCATCTAAGCTTTGGGAGGAAGGAAGAACCTTACTCCATCCCCTTAATTGCACCTGGATAACAGATACTGTGCTCTGGCAGTGGCTAATGAAAAGCACATGAGTGATGGATAAGACCCAGGAGAAGCCAACCATACAAAGCTGCTGCAACCACCCACCAGCAGAAAAACACATATAAACACATTATTTATTGGGGACTTCACACTGGGAGACACTAAAACACCCATCTGCCATCCAGATAATTTTCTCTAGGGTAGTTTTCTGCCTAGTAGGAGTAGGATGACTCCTACAGATCTGCTCCTAATACTCCACATAGTGTCCAACAATACTGCAACAAGACAATTTAGAGCCATCAAAAGAGGCTGTATGTCCCTTTGAGTAATATTGGAACAATGTGGAGCACTGGTGTTCTCTATTGTTCAAGTCAGAGTTAGGGTTAGGAAGAGGTGAATGTGTGGTTAGTGCCATACTCAAGGTTTTGCCTCCTATGATCATGGATCTGCATTTGAGAATCTGTTGGGAGCTGATGGGATTCACCTGACCAAGCACGGAAAGAGGAGCTTCAGTGACCAGCTGGCTGGACTTACATAGAGATCTTTAAACAAGGTTTAGTGGGAAAGGAGTGGACTTTCAGCAACAGAGAAGAGTCAGAGGTTGATGATGTGCTAGGAACTAACAGGGAAATATCTATGAAACACATCAAGGAATTAGATGTTCCTCTAAAAAGGCTACATGGTCAATACCAGAGCTGAAGTACCTCTATGCCAATGCGCACAGCACAGGTAACAAGTAAGTGCAGCTGGAAGCTGCTGTGTGAATGAAAAGCTACAATCTAATTGCTGTCACAGGAACATGTTGGAGTGATTGCCTGACTGGAAAAAAATAGAATCAATGTCTATAAACTGTTCAGAAAGGACAGGCAAGGAAGGAGGATTTGCCCTTTATGTTGTTGCCTAAAAGACCATGGAGAAAAAGAACTCCAGGATAATTTAGTGTATGAGATAAGATAAAGAGACCTGGTCCATAATCTCAGGCCTAAGGCCCAGGGAATACATACCACGTGAGCTCACCCAGACAGTGGTTCTATGATTTTATAATAAGGTCCATCCAATCCCAGATCTGTCCAGCCTCAGTTCTGCCCAGTTCTACCCCCTGACACACCCCTTCAGGAACTGGGTCTTGGGGTGTTTGGGACCCCTTCTTCCTCATCTTCATTTTTTTCAAAGCACATACAGTCCTTGGAGTTCCTGAAAAGTTCTGGGCTTGAAGGTTGCTGTGTCTGTGTGATATCTTCTAGTCCAGGCCTTAAGGTGTTTTTCTACAATTCTACTTTGAAAAAAGTGGCAGTTTGAGCCACATTAGAAATCTAAAATCCAATTTTTACGCTTCTCCCCACCCCTTCCCACAATTTATCCTAACACTGGAGAGAAATTTTCAGACCAGAGGTTTCTGTAGGGGAAGGGAGAAGTATATACATTTATTTACACAAATAAATACTATACAAACTAAAGGCAACTATATATATATATATATATATATATATATATATACATATATATTACATTACTATCAGTCAGTCCTGTCAAGCCCCTCCTTTAACTTTAGTCCAGGAGCAGCCTTTAAGGCTGATATGTAGCACAGTCTTTTGCTGTGGGAGTGTTCTGGGCTCCTGAACGCTCCCCCCTCACCAAGTTCTAGTTGTTTGTTGTAGTCTCTCCTCCTCATGAAGTCTGAGAAAATAGCTTTGAGTCCTTGCTCTTCTGCTGCTGGTGATTTCTCCCTCTCGGTGTCTCACCTCGGTTCGTAGGCTGCTGCAGTGTAGCTTATCAAGCGTCCACATCCTGGAATCCTCATTCCTCCACATCAGTTCTCAGCTACCCCTGGTCAGCTTCGGCAGGCAACTCTTGGTTCGTCTCCAGTTTTGCCTGGGACTCTTCTCCCAAGTGCCGAGCCTACCTCCATGGTCCGTCCACTTGGCTCAGCTTCAGGGCTGAGCCTCTCCTCCACTTACAGTGAAGGGAAAGAAAAGCCCCTCTCTACAGCTTCACTGCAGAAAAAGAGGGGGAAGAGGGCCCAGCTGCAAAGCCTGCCTCTCTCCTCTTACCTCAGGTGCTGTGAATCTCTTCCTTCGCAGCACACACTCCAAATGCTGACTCTAACTCTAGCTAAAGGCTGCGTTGGGGGGTCGCAGGGCTCCCCTCTCCCCCCAAGAGGGGAAGAGAGGGAGCCCAGCCACCCCCTGGCCTTGTCCATCTACACGCAGCAGACACCAACAGCAAAACAACCAAGACAGAACTGCCAACAGGTTCCGGTGCTGTGATATATGATTTTGAGCAGAAGCGAACAACATGAGTGGTGACTGGCTCTCCAGGGAACACTGTCCTGGCACCCAATCACCTCTGAGCCCCCAGCCTCTCAGGGGGGGCCAATCTCAGCCTATGACACAACACTAACAGAACCTTAGAGGAATTGATATGAAATGGGGTAGTAGGGTTAGGTATGTGTAAATATTATGTTACAGGGTAAGAGATATAATACACCTACATTGAAATCTACATTCACTACATGTCTACTTCTAAAATCTATAAAAATTTAAAAATCAAAAAAAAGCTCTGAGGCATTATATTCTCAGGCTCTGATCCTGCTGGGGATCAGACACTCTGAGACCTGCAGGAAAAGTGCAACAGCAAGATATAAATTCAGGGATTATTGAAGAGTGTCAAGGATAATCTCTTAATCCAGGTATTAGACAGTCTGACCAGAGGACAAGCATTGCTGGACCTTGTTCCTCACCAACACGGAAGAACTAGTTAGGGATGTAAGTGTTAGAGGTGGGCTGGTGTAATTCAGAATCTTGAGGGATTTGGGCCAGGTGGAGAGTAGAATCAGGATACTGAATTTTATAAGTATGAATATATTTTTATTGAAGTAACTAGCCAATGGGATTCCCTGGGAAACTGCTCTCAGCAAAAAAGGAGGCAAACAATGCCAGCAGCTTTTCAAGAACATTTTTCTTAAATGAAAAACTCCAAATTTCAACATGTAAAAGCCTGGGTAACAGAGGCAGGAGACCAACATGTCTCAGTCAGGACCTCCTGATCAAACTAAAGTGTAAGAAGGAAATATACAGGCAATGGACCCAGGCATGCTATAGTGGGAAGAATATAAGGACACTACCTGGATATGTAGGGATGGGGTTAGGAAAGGTAAGGAACAGTTGGAGCTAAATTTGGCAAGGGATGTGAAGAATAATAAAAGTTTTCACATGTTGGCAAGAAAATGAATATTTAAGAAAAGGTACCCCCTGCTTTGGTAAATAAGACAGAAAAGCTGGTGACAACCAACATGGAGAACCTCATCTTTCAATATTAAACTATCTTTCAACATTGCTCAAATCCCTGAAAATCAAGTGTCAGAGACTGAAATGGTTAATGATTTATGCATTCTAGGAGACTCTTGCAGGATTTTGACCTTTGTATTATACCTGTGATGGGCAGTTGGGCCTGTCCCTCCCTCCAGTGAAGAGTCAAGTTTGCAGGCTTTTAACTGTTGCATTATACCTCTGATGGGTAATTGAAGATGTCAAGCCCTGAAAAGACAGGACCTCTAATGGCCCATAAAAGCCCATCCCCCCCTCTGCCAATCTAAAAAGGTGGGAACCAGGCCAGACACAAAAAACTCTTGCGCAGGGCCCAGAGAGAGGCTGGAGGCTCGAGGCATGGTCTGTGACACTGACCATGGATATAATAACTCATAACTTCTTGGCATGTGGGGACTTCCCTCCTTCACCCCCACCAGATCAAGGCCACCACTTCAACTGACAGACATGGAAGCTGCAACTACCAAGTGTCATCGCTGGACCCCATGGGTGGTGACTGTATACATTTTGTCCACTCTCAGCTTTTCTTTTTCCTTACTCTCCCTTACTCTTATCCTATCTTTCTCTCCCCTATGCATTTTCTCCCTCCGAAAGGTTATCTCTACACCACGTTGTTATATGACAACACCCAAAATGCTAGCATACCTGTTGATACAAAATTGTTAAAATAAACCTTACCAGTATATGTTTTCAGACACCAATTATTCAGTGTCATTTCACTCTAATCCACCCCAAGAGAATTATTGATAAGAACCTGGGTTACCCTCCTCGTCTTTTTCTGGGGTGGGTTGTAACATCAAGACAGGGACTGGAGGATTAAAGTCACAGGAGAAAATGAGACAACCTGAAGAACTTGAAAATACACAAACCCATAGGACCTGGCAGGATGCATCCCAGAATCCCAAGGTGCAGCTGCCAAGCCACTCTCCAGGACATTTGACAAGTCATGACAACCAGGAGACATCCTTGGTGACTGGAGAAAGGGAAACCATGTACCCATTCTTAAAAACAGAAAAAAGGAGAACCCTGGCAACCCTGGAAATCATGTCTGACCCACATTGACGCATCTTTTAAATACCTTCAGGGATGGTGTCTCAGCCACTTTCCTGGGCAGCCAGTTCCATCTTGGAATATGACCTGGGCTTACATCAGGATATCCTTTCCTCCTTTGAGAAAGGTATACCAGATGTTATGTTATTGTCCTCTTCTTCTCCTTCTTGGGAACATGAATTCTTTAGACACCTACATAATTTAGGACTCTTCAAAAGTGATTAGGAAATGTATTGGAATTGTTTTTTCCTAAAGAAATCTGGAGATCAGCATACTTGTCTTTATTTCAAAATACCTCCTTCAAACCACAGTCAGTGGGTGTAGGAGTTGTCACTGGCCTGTCTACCCATGAAATTCTCTTATAACAGGAGAATTCTTGGTTGCCTTCTACAGTACCTTCTCAGTAGCTTTGGATTGCTGTGTTGACCCTGCTTGGTGGTAGGGGGTTTATTTGTTTGATATTTATTTATTTATTCACTGAGCCTTCTCCCTGCCCTGTTTATTATTGCAGAGAAAGCCTACAAAGCCTGAAATAATTGCCTTCCTCTTTCAATAGGTACAATACTCTGGTAAAATGTCAGCATTTTTTGAATAGCCTACATGAACATCTGTAATTAATTGCATTTTTTGATAGATCCCATAGTTCTGAGAACTCTGTGATTATGTGTTTAAAAAAAGGGCTGAGGCTTACTACCTGTATAGAGTGACTAATGTGAGACATTTCCCAGATATTTCATTTTACAGCTGATGTA